TATAATCAAAGCAAAACATTTCTTCACATATAAAATAATAAGTTGTTTACAGATGAAAAGTTCAAGTGGACTTTGTGGAGTTGGACACTTTTTGCCCTCCGCCCTTCATATTGTTTGGATGTTTGATTGATTAATGTTTTCAAATAGTTTATAATTTCTTGCCTCTAATTATATTTTTAATGTTTATAATTTGAATTATCTAGTGGAAAAAAAAAATCAAGCGAAAAAAATTCAAATTAAATGGGTTGGTTCTTGGGCCCGAGTATGGCACAAGCACGAGCACGGGCACGGCACGAGCCCGGCCCGGCCCGTTTAAATATGGACATGGACTTTGGGTCGGGCCGGAATCAATGATTTTATTAAATGGGCCGGCACGGCACGGCCCGATAAATTAAATGGGCCGGCCCGGCACGGCACGAAAATGTTAAAAGCACGAGTTTAAATGGGCCGGGCCGGGCCGGCACGGCCCGTTTGACACCTCTAATGGGAAATGGGAATGGATTGCGGAAAATATTTTTATTTTATTAACCAATAAAAGACTTTTTATTTATAATCCAAATCTGGGTCAATAAGACACGAAAGTTAGACTGGCCCAATATGGTAATTTGAATGAAACAGACCGAACCAATCCAGGTTTAAATGGGTTGGGCTGGTCAAGTTTTTGAGGTGAATGACGAAGGTATAACTTCTTCTCGAAAACAAAAAACAACTGGTGTTTAAGAGATGAAATTAACAGATGAAACTTTGATTCTCTATCGACCTTTTGTCAACAACTTGTAAGAAAGTGCCAATTAAATAGTAATTACGGGTTTATTATTTACCCGTAGTAGTAATAAATAATATGAACCCAAATTTGAAAAACAGAGAGAGAGAGAAGTAAAAAAGAATGAAATATCAACAACGCACACAAAGTGCTCCCATTCTTGCCTTGTTAATTAATCCGATACAGAGAGAGAACTACAAATTCAATAAAACATCTACAGAAGACTCCTCACTTCTTTCTATACTTCTTAAATTAGTTATGATAAACAGAGCAAGATACATAAGCTTGTATGGAAATAAATGTACATTTCCCTATGAATTCTATCTATACCTACTTCATCTGACTAACATGAGCTTTGTTCCTTCAAATAAATCCTCAGAAATCCACATCCAGCAAATATGCAATGCAATGCAGTTGACAACACTGTCTGCTGTGCACGGCTGCTTCCTTGGTTACCTGCTTCATCCGATTATTCAAAAAGACAGCAGAAAAATGCTGACTTATACGGTCCAGTTTTGTAGTGCTCCGCTGGAAAGAAGATATTAGCAATAAATGTTGTGCTAGCAGTATAAACTTATTGTGCTTATATAACAATGTACAAGTAATCTATCATGAATTTCTCTCCTTTTCGCTATTCAATAAAACCGTACTAGCTGCTTTTGATGGGGGCCTATTGATCTTCTCAAGTAACCTACTGAATACTAATTTCACGGGTATGCAAGCTACAGTTGTGGGTCCAGAAGACTCCGGTTTCATCAGCCCTTCCCTTTGACAACTACTGCTATCATGATGTATTGGCTTGTTACTAAAATTCTGTTCAATGGCTATCGAAGATAAAGTCCTCGTTTTCTGGCTAGATGATAAGCTGACTTTCTTGGCCACCTTTTTCGACAACTTTCTATCAGTGGGAAGCCGGGAGTTGTGAAGAAGGTTCCTCTTACCCTGGCTTGCCTTATTACTGAAACTCCCTAAATTTAATTTCTTGAATGGTGGCCTGCTTTCTTCATCTAAAAAGGGAAGGTCGTCAGCAGCTTCATCACCATCCAATGCAGACGATAAATGAGGGCGCGGGACTCGAACATTTGCCGTCCTCCTTGCAGTCCTCCATGCATGTGGAACAGTTGCACCCCCATTATTGTCAACTGCTTCCTCACCAAATTCATCAACTGTTGAAAGAAGCGAGTTGGATGAACCATCTTCTAAGGCTTCAATTTGGATTGGGTGCCCTATTATTGCCTTCCCATTTAACTTGCTCATCAGAGAAACAATAGGAACTGGCTCTTTTTGGTAACTTGCCTGGACCTTCAAGTCTACATCTATCAAGTATCTCGGCCTCCTGCGATAATGATAACGGCCATCATAAACAGGGTGAAAGCGATCTCTTTTGATGTCCCAGTCCTCATTCCAGGCAGACCTATCCTCCCAGGTCCAGTCTTCCCAATCAGTCTGAAAATCATTATTATCCACATTAGCCCTATGAGGACAATCATTAAAATCAATGTATCAACAGAAACATGGAACTATAACAACCTTTGGCTGAAAGCACATACCTTTTCTTCAGAATAAGGTCCATAAATATAGCCTCTTCCGTCAGTTGCATCCATTGATCTTTTTGTAAGATTGCGGATATTTCTTTTCCCTTTCAACTGCCATTTGGACACAGCCTCACTAGCAAATAAAGGGTCATGACTGTAGAGGTGAGACATATCACCAGAATTTGTTGATTCATCAGGCTCGTCGCCAACCATGATTCCATGTTCTCGTGCTTCATATCTCCCAACTTCTGGTTCTATAGGTTATGTACAGAAAAGATTTAGAGGTTGATGACAAAAAAGTGGCACAGCCATTATGAACCCTTGAGGCCAAAGCTCAGAAAACCAACTCCATGGCGTGAAATGCATATTCAACAAGTTATTCATGTTAACTGAAGTCAAGAGATCATAGTGCAAAAAATTAAAAGCAAGTTTTCTGAATCACATGAACCATAATATGGTACAGATAATGGAATCTTGACTGGAAAATCAACAAAAACCTCACATGAACCATAACATGGCTCAATGGCTAAAAGCAGTTTGACCAAATTTCTGTAAAAAATAATAAAATAAAAGGTGAAAAATAAATATAAACACACAAGTTCACAAAATGACAAACTTTGAGAGCTGCATATACATGAAAATCACCATACCCCAAGACAGGGCTAACCGCACTCTAACTTGACAATTAGGTTATCATTTTACACATAATATACACTTTCATGGCAGTAAGAATATGATATGCATACCAAAAAATAAAGGAGGTAACTGCAAAAAGAGACTAAAAGAGATTTGTCCTGCATACATATTATAAGCAAGAATCATAGAGCTGATTTTTCTAACATGTCTGAGCAGTAGGGCTACTCTGCATCAGCAAAATCTAACAACTACATAAACCATGGAATTGACAAAATATAAAAAATAGTAAAAGCTGAACCTGAGAGTAAAGGCATCTCTTCATCCATATCTGGTTCAGTCTCAGAAGAATCAGACTCGGACTCAGAAGAATCTGTTTCAGAAGAATCAGATTCATCTTCTGTAAAGCCAGAAGTGTTCTCTTCAATCAAGGCCTCGGCATGAGGACGAGCACCAACTGGTGAAGCTGAGATCTCAGCTTGGTTTGAAGGAGCTGCTTCATACTCCAAGGATTCACCAGACTCAGCAGGCAAATATACACATTTACTCCTCTTTGCTTTGCAAACAACTCCCGTCTGCTCCACTCCTGAAACAGAAGTATAAACAGTAGCACTGTCAGGTTGCAAGGACTGTGGGACAGCTAATTTTGCACTATTCTGCAAAACTTGGACAAGAGGACGACGTTTATCAGGTCTCTTGGCCAAAAGTTCATCACTCAATCCCTCATGTGAACTTTTCATTTGCTCTAAAGAATTTTTACCGTTCACATGATTTGTTCCTCCCATGCTAAGACCACCACGAGCAAGAGCTTGAACAGTACCATCAACTGTGGGTTTCCAAGAACCATTTAAAGCAAGAGAAGATGAAAGTTTTCGCTTTGAAGGGGCAATTTTGAGACCAAAGTCCTGCAAGCCTCTCATCCGAGGCATGGCCTCAGCATGATCATCTTCACCACTCAGTTGATTTCCCTCTTTGGCTCTTTGGGAAGACAGAGGACCGCCTATAATATCATTTCTATGAGACGTATCCAGTCGCTTAGAAAACTGATGTGATTTGGAATTTCCAGGTTTTACATTGTCATTTCCCAAACTTTCGGAAGATATAACTAACTCCTTTTTCACAGCACCAGATAATTTACTGTTCAAGCGTTCAGAAGTTATACCTAACTTTCCTTGTTTTCTCAACAGCTGCTTCTCAAGTTCAAGCGCATGAAGAATAGCATCTTCTCGACGTGCATATTTCTCTCTTTTCTTCACAGGCATACCCTGCGATGATTCAGCCTTCTCAATACAATCATCAAACTCACCGCATCGAAACGCCTTAACACGCTTGGATTTTTCCAAATTGTACCAATCACTGAGAAGAAATACCACGGAATATCATTACTAAAACAGTTGGTAAAATCAAAGCAGGCATGTAAGTAGAAGAATCAGTAAGTATGAACAATGGGAGTTATACTTCGTTACAACTCTCCAGTTTGAAAAGAGAAGACGACCCTCTTAAATAACATTTTAATAAAATCCATGGTACATAATTTCTATATTTTTGTGCCACTAGGTGGATAAGGCAAAAGGGGGCAGAAGGCCTGAACCATGTTTCTGCTAAATAGTTCTAAGGTGCCAACCAATTGTATGTACAATGAAACTTGATTGATTAAAATGTCCTAGCAAAACGTGATATAATGGGGGTTCAGTGCTGGGTTTTAAAATTTCCGTTGATGCTAAAACCCTATAAACGAGTTTGACCACTGAGTTGCAGTAAGTTTCTGGTATGGGTTTCTACCTATGCTCCAACATGTTGTCCTAAGCTTTTGTGATTTCTTCAAGTAAAACAGCAAAAGCGCTATTTTAGCTCATGTATACAATAAAACGGAGAAGAGACTCAGTAAAGTAATTATTTTTCTCGTTTCTACATAAATATCCAATCACAACCCAAAACGCCCACAGTAACATGAAATGGGTTCAAAAGCCACCATTAAGAAAAATTTAGGGAAGAACTATGAGAGACATACACACTGGCATCTTCTCTACCGAGAAGCTTGACGGGGGTCCCAGAGCGAGGCGACGTGAGATGCGAAGCGGAGAGCTCTTCTGGGCCCACTATCTTCCCCGGCCACCACGACCCGTTCCTCCTCCTCACCCAAACGATCGATCCTACGCTGAAATCGCCCGTACCAGATTCCGTACTCCCCATAACACACATACACTCACGCACTCTATCTCTCTCTTCTCTCTGTCTCTCTATATATCGCTGTGTCTCTCGGTTGCTCTCTTTCTGTGAACAATAGAGGAGTCGGAGTTTGACTCAGCCTCCAGCAAAGAACAGTGAAGAACGGATGATCCGAAGATAGACGAAAATGGAGGGTCCAATTTGAGGGATTCGGGTTGGGGCTAGGGTTTCCATTCAGAATTGGGGATTTTTCATTTCTATGCTTTATTTTATTTGTTTTCTGCTCTTTCTCTCTCCAGAAGCCTATGTTTTTTTCCTCTCTGTAAATTTTTATTTTATTTTAAATAAATCAAAATTTCGAAATTAAAATACTCGGGACTCTGTGTGAGTGATTGGAATTTGGGACCATTGGGTTCGGGTGTAAATGGTTTTTGTGACGGTTTGTTTGTTTGAAGAAGGTGGGCTAAGGCTAAGGCAGCAAGGCTAAGCGGCCAAGCATAAGAGTGGGGTCTGTTTGTCTGAGTCTTGTGGCTTCTGGCTTCTGGCTTCTGGCCTGTGGAGGAAATCGTACGAGTTTTGTGTGAGTCATGTGCTCCGAAGCAACGCGTGCTGCGCAAGCTTTGAGTTTTTAACACGTGGATTACTACAACTTTGGGCTCCGATCTTTTACGATTTGGGCTTTTATAGGCCTGCCTGCACTTCTGGCCTTTCGAAACTTAGCTTGTTCACATTCCAGGCCTAATCTCTATGAATGTCCACTTGGGCACAATTGATAATGTGAAATATGTAACTTTGGACTTGGCTCCAATTAACCCTAACTAAGCGATATTAGAAACTAATATGCGGGGAGAAGGATTGAACTCGGGTGCAATAAGGGTGCACACTAACTTTGTCAGCTTATCTAACTCACGTCTGTCTATATAAAAGAGTAAAAAACACACATAGATATTATGAATTCTCCAATTTCTTTCTTATTTTCTTTATCCGTTGTCACATATGCATATAATACAATGAAATTAGCATTCTATCTAATCTTAAGATGGACATTTAAAACAACGAAATTAGAAGTCCATCAACAAAATGATCTATTTGGTTTTTCTATGCACTTTTATCTTTAGTTTGTTTCAAATAAACCGTAATGAAAAACACACATAGGTTTGCTCATATTCTGTTTAGTTATGCATGCCAAAAAGTGTGAGTGGCCAGAAGTTTAAATATCAAACTTCCCTCCATTAATGAATTCATTTTCCAATTCCTGTATTGAACAATAAATAGTCATAAGATTGAATACAATTCACACGAGACATGATAAACATACTGCTTACTTAAACCAACATTTAAAATAAACGTCAAAATGGTTATCATATCACATTTAAATGGATAACATGTAAAGAGGAAGCCAAAAAGATAACTCATATGAAATTGCATATAGAAATAAGAGCTGAATAAGATACGACATACTATACAATGGCAGAGTTGGGATTTTGCATTTGAGATGACACTGAAGCGCTAACCTGATAATAAGTTAATATGATACTAACTACTCAGTTTAGCCCTCTTCGTAATATCATTTCATATTGATTAATAATTTATTCGTTCATTACAATCATAATTATCTTTAATTTTATATTATAAAATGGTTGAATATTAATCTCATTGTCCACACTATTCAAGAAATACAAAAAATTCAGAAATCCCAATATTAAAGTACCTTGCTTAGACATATAAAAATGGAGGGAAAATATTACAAAGCTTAAATGCAAGGTGTAAACAGATTGAGGGGTCTGGGATCAAACTGGATCCCTACATAGCTCTGCCTCCGATACTGGATCAATGGGTTGTGGGGAAATAAGTTGAGTTTTTATTTATTAGTGGTTGAATCTACGAAGACATGTGGGAAGTTACAAAATCTAAAGACATATTATAATATTTTTATATGAAAAATATTGAGGGAGGAGAGAATCGAACATGGGACTTCGAGTGTAAGGATAAATATTTTTAATAACTTGAGCTACAAGTCCCTTGTAGATGTATGGTCATATTAGTTATTGAGGTTATGCAATTTACATCTTAATTAATATAAACAAAGGTTGTGAAAGTATAATATTATACCAAATTATTGAAGAAAGCCTAGGTTAATATTTAAAAAAAAAACTCAACTATTCACTGAACAAGTGCAATTCTAAATTTGTTAAATGTGATGTGTATTTTCCCAAATGCGAATTTTCCGTAGTTTGCCCCTGTCCGCGATTACACAATTACGATTGTCGTAATAATACTTACCCACGTCACCCAAGTTTATAATTTATTCACTTGCTAAAAACAGAAAAGAAAAAGAAATTGTTGTCAATAATTTCAAATTTCAAATCCGCGCTCCAACGGTCATAATTTCTAGGGTTTTCCAAACGTCTCTCCCGGTCTTGGCCATACATATATAAATATCCCCAATCGCTCTCTCATTCTCTCAAACGCTTCAACATTTTTCACTCAATCTGTTAGCCGTCTCTCTTGCGAAGACCAAAACAGCTTGTTTTGATCATCTAGGGTTTCCCGTACACTATGGATTTCTCCAGCCTCACAAGAAAGGAGCTCCAGGCTCTGTGCAAGAAGAACAAACTCCCAGCTAACCTCACCAATGTCGCCATGGCCGATTCTCTCAAGGCTCTTGAACATGTAATACTTTTGTCCCCCTTTTTCTTCATACCTATTTGATATTTTATTATTGTGGATTTAAAATCTGTTTGGTTGCCAAGAAAAGGGATATTGGAAATCACCAAAATCAGTACATTTTCAGATTCAGATCTTCTGGGAATTGCTGTGTTTGATTTGGATTCTCAAATATACTTTTCTTTAAAAACTTTCTAATTAATCACATGTTCTACATTCTTTAACATTATAGATTTGAAATCCGTTTGGTTGCCAAGAAAAGTGATATTGGAAGTCACCAAAATAAGTACATTTTCAGATTCAGATATTCTGGGAATTGCTGTGTGTTGGTTTGAATTCTCTAATATACTATCTCTTTACGAACTTTCTAGTGTAAACCACATGTTCAACATTCTTTCATGTTTGGTTGGTGATAAATGACCGGAAAAAGAAAAACCTATATAATCATAAGTGTTGAGTTGAGCTCAGTTCTTATGGGGCTAGCTAACAGATCTAGTGCCTTATAAATCTATATAATATTGCTCACCTAAATTCATAATTTCTCAACATAAATTAAACAGGGGAATCGTAGAACATCCTTTTCTGTTTGGATGCTGAGAATCACAAGAAAATAAAAGAGTTTATCAACATACAGTTGTTTTGATTCTGTTTTTCCCATCATCTTAACCTTCTTTTGATTTCCATGTATTATCTTTCAAACAACACACGCTGGATGGATTTATTAATTTATTGGAATCTGACTGTTCTGCAAATCACTGTACCAGGTGGAAGGGCTTGAAGAGTTCCTGAACCAATCCAAATCGGATCCCCAGCAATCTCCGGAGAAAACCATGAACGGATCACTAAGTATCCCTCGTACTGCCGGTAGAACCTCGACTCGTAGAAAGCCCATCCAAGTAGAACCAGAAAGCTCACAGCCATTGACTCAAAGTCGACGCGGGACTAGGAGAGCCGTTTCTGAAGAGATGGACCAAGAAAAGACTGAGGTGCCTAAAACTCCTGCCGCACCAAATACTCGGAGAAGGGCTCCCGCTGCTTCTGCTCGACAGAACACCACACAGAAGGAGAATCCTTCGGTGCAGAGCGTTTATAACACAAGGCGATCGGTGAGGCTGCTGGAAAAGAACATGGCAAAGTTGAGCTTGGATTATGAAAACAGTATGTCCTTTAAGATGGATGAACTTTCCACAGAAATCAACAATGGCTCAGAGAAGTCTGATGGCTCAGTTGATATGGGTAAGTCCAGCGTTGCATTCATTTGATGATTTACACTAGCACTACACAGACTACACAGATATCAAGTTTTGTTAGTGTAGCTTAGACTGGCTTAGACCGTTTGGTTTCTGGATAACTATAAGTAGTGTAAGATGGGGTTATATAACATGCGGTTGACTTTTTAATCAACTAGTTGTATTGTTTCTCAGATATATATTGGAAGGAAAATCATGTTATCTGACATAGTTCATGGTATGGTGTGAAACAGGGTCTAATATGCAGACAGTATCAGAGGCGAGTTCAGAGAGGGTTGATGTTTCTGAAGTTTCATCGGAACCAAAATCAAATGGACCATTGGAGAATGAAGGGAAGTTGAAAGATGATGTTCAAGAACCTAACAAGACTGATATGATTAAAGTAGAAGATGATTCAAAGGTAAAATCAGAAGTGGAATCTGGGGTATCCGAACCAAAATCGGCCTCAGATGTCATTGTGGATATATCTCATGAAGAGGGGTCAGACGAAACAGACGACAAGGGTAAGTTCCATTGCATTTTATATATTACTACGGCCAGGATGTTTGTTCATCTGATTTCATGATTCTCAATTCAATTTTTGTGGTTCCTTTTTGTTGAGCTTATTTGAATCTGTTTGTGATTGCTACAGAACCTCATGATGAAGGAACAGAAAAATCTATAGCTGCCAAAGTTTCTGATGATAATTCTGTTGAGGCCATGTGCAATGCTAATGCTGCTCTATCTTCAGTGCTACAAAAAGTAAATGAATCACTGAGTGCGGAAGAATCCACTGACCCCAATTCATTGACTCTGAGTTCCACTCATGGTCCAGCTCAGAACCCAGAAGCTAAATGTCGAAGCCTGGAGATAAAAGAATCTGAAACCAATGCAGCAGAGGATCAAGATTTCGACTCAAAATCTGCCCCTGTAGGAGAGACTGGAGAAGTCAAGGACGTGACCAATGTAGAAGAAGCTGCTAAACCCCAGGTATTGACCCTGAGCTTGTCTGATGAACGACAGTCTATGATAAGTAGCAAGGACTCAATAATGTATGGGGCAGAGGGAGATTACACAGAGAAGTTCAATTTTGAATCAGACTTCAGCTCAGAAGAAGATTCTGGTGATGACATCAGTGAAGATGAGACCGTGAATGAAAAATCAATCGAGTGTGAGGATAAGAAAAAAGATGATGTGCAAGTGAGTGAAGGGGGTGATATAAGTTCTGAAAACTCTGTTGCAGAATGTTTGGTTGATGCTAATGCGAGTGCAGTAGCAGAAGTTGCCACGGCAACCCAGTTCAGTCCTTTGTCAGATGAGATACCAAAATCTATGAAGCTAGCAGTAGCTCAGGAGGCAATGCCAGTAGAAGAATTTTCTATGGTTACCAATGACCATGAAGGCACTCCAAAATTGCCACTGGCAGCAGCTGACCTACTTCCGCTACAGTTTCCTCGTCCAACTCTCTCAAAATCCGGGAAGTCTCCAGGCAAGAAACAATCGGCAATTATGAACTACATCTTTGATGACAACGAGGAAAAAGACATTGAGAGTGGTGATAAGATATTGGAACTCGGAGGAGTTGAGATGAAGAGAGACACTGACACCGTGCAAAAAGAACTTGAT